AAGAGACCAAATAAAAGATTCAGGAATGGGCTTTATTGTGTTCCCCTTTTTACTGCCAGCTGATTTAAGCCACCTGATGCTTTGGTATTAGGTTGCATGAGTTCCTTGGGGTGGTTTGCGTCTAAATGACAAAATCTCTCTCCTGTCCTAATGATTCCAAAACATCTTTGTTAACTTTTATGAGGAAGCTATACTCACAACACTGTATTTGGTTTTATATATATATATTTAAAGTGTGGCACATTAGAGTCTTCCATTTTTCCTATGTTGGTTTTATGATAAACACATCTCCATTATTGTAATAATACGTCATATGTTAAATTCATGAGGACACAAGCTCTTGTTTTGTATTGGTGCATTATTATTTAATGTAAGTTCCTTTGAATTTGCTCCTATTCAATTTAGGAGTAAATTGTGGATATAAGTTGCCTAGGGTCCTGCTCCTGAGCTCAGCCCTCAGTGTGGAAAATTATCCTCTGGTTTCCATTCAAAATGTGTAAGGTAGGATGTTGAGACAAATGTGGTTTTGCATTGTGGCTCACTTTGGGTGAGATGTTTAAACTTCAAAGCCCTTCTAGGTACTTGGCCTCACAACTTACTGTATTTGATTTGTAATACTCAACTTTTGCACCTCAGTTTTTCATCTTTAAAATGGGGGTAGCAATAGTCCCAACCTATTGATTAAGATAATGCCTGTGTTCAGCACAATGAAAGAACCCTGTAAGTCTAGGCCATTATTAGCAATAGAAGTTTGACAGTTGTGTGAAAATTAAAAATAACGTCTAGCACAGTACATGGGACACTGACTGTGCAGTAAACAATAACTGCTATTATGTGTTCCCAGTGCCCAAAACTTAGTGGGCACGCATGGCAGTGCTTTTGCAACCAGATGCTACAGGAGACAGCAACAGGATGGCAGGTATGGGGCCCTCCACTGTGGAGGATGGGAAAATGCTATTCGTTGGGGAATTACTCTCAGGCACTCTGCTAAGCACTTCATTTCCATTATCTTTTAGTTCAGTGCTATGACAGGATATCATTGTCTAGTTCATACATGAGGAATTGAAATTAGGAGAACTGTTGTGAGTTGCCTAATGTCAAAAAGTTAATGAATGGTTGAGTTGGGGCTTGAATCCCAGTCTCTATCTGACTCTGAAGTCCACCATTCATTCATCCATTCATCTATTCGGTGAATATTTGTTGAGTGCCTACTCTGCATCCGGAACCATAGTAGACACGGGAGATGGAAAGTTGAATAAGAGGGTTCCTGTGATGAAGCAGCTCACAGTCTCCTGAGAGCCATTTGATACAAAGCCTGCTGATCCCTTCTTAGCTCCTAGCCTCTCAGGAAAGTAGGCAATGAGTTTATCTGCTGAGTGTGAGCAGGTGGGTAGCAAAGGGGAGGGACTGAGGAGACTGCATGTCTTGGAGGACGGAGCTGTTATTAAATGTGAAAAGTTGAAAACACTGTTTCATGAATATAATAAATGCAAACCTTTATTATTGGCTTTCCAAGCCTTATTGCTGCCACTTGGTCAAAGATTCAAAGGTTTCACAGCTGGAGGAAGCTGCACCGTTGTGAGGACTTAGCCATAGTTTTGACAGTGTTGGAAGATTTGGCTGCATAGGTGATTCCCAGGGTCTAGGGCAGGTGAGGCAGCCCTGAGGACCCTCCTGTAAATGGCTGAGTGGAACTCTGAGGAAGTGTTAGAACAATTAAGGGTGGGTTCGGAGTCAGAGAAATACTATTTGGTAATTTGCTGAGACTCTATTTCCTCAGGACATTCTGACCTGGGGACTTTTGGTCCTAGGTGCACGTATGGGATGCTGTGGTCCTCTGTCTTGGTGTAGTTAGGGCAAGACACAAGATGGGTCATTTGCAGCAGTATCCTCTTTCACTGTTTCTTTAACTCTCTGGTTGTTTATCCACCAAAGGTCAGTATATTTCCTATAGCACCACCATGTCCTGTCAAATTACAATTCTTAGTAAATGTAAACTGATAATTTTACAGAAAACCACCAATTTTGTGTGCCTACATTTATGAGTCACTTCTCTAATTGTACACTGTGTCATTTAAGCAGTGACACATAGGTGTGACACATAGGACAATCAATGTGATTTCATTAGAACAAAGCAAACTGAATTATATGCTGTGCCAGTCTTAGAGAAGTTTTATTGTTTGGTGGTGAGAATAGACAAGGACTAAACTTTTAGTTTTGTTCCAGCCTCAC